CTGACGCCTCCGGCCCCGCCCCGCCGTGTCACGTGACCCGGGGCGCCCGCGCCTGCGCGCCTGGCCGGTCCTTCCGCGCCTGCGCATTCGGGCCCGAGAGGGCGGCGGCGGGCCTCGCGGGGCTGCTGCGTTGCCGGGACGCGCCCGCCGCCTCCCTGAGCCCCGGGGCCGCGCTCCCCCGGGCCTCCTCGCCCCGCCGCTTCCGATCCGGCGGCGGCGGCGGCGATGGCTCGGCGACCGGCCGGGGCGGGCAGAGCGGCGGCCCGCGCTTCCGCGGCGCCCTTTGCTGCAGACGCGTTCGGGACGGCGCGGCCGGAGCGGCGAACCTCTGCGGACCCCGCAGCCGCCGGTCCTCCACCTCGCGGGTCCGCCTCCTCCGTTCGTTTGCGAATACCCCGCCAAGCCGCCCGCTCGGCGGCCGCGGATGCGCTTTGCACTCGTGATTTTGGCCTGCGGAAGCTACCGCTTCGCCAGCGTCCGCCCGCCATGATGGAACGAAGAGCGCAGTCACCCTCGCCATTGCTGCAGTGCGGCCCGCTCGCATCCAAGCGGCTGGACCAGCTGGGGCAGCTTGCCCGGCTCTGCGCAGCGAGCAGCCGGGAACCGGAAAGGGCAGGAATTACAGGGGCGGGGTGACATTGACCTGTCCCAGCGGTGCGAGGTGACCTATACGAAGCGCTCTCTCTCGGCCTTGTGCACCACAGCACCATGGGCCTCACCATAAATTGCCAGCAGGCCGTGTGAGATGCGAAGCTTAGCCCGTGTGCCGGCCTGCTTCTCCTGCTCCTCCAGACCTTTGGGATCACATCACTTGGCCTGGGAGGCCTGGAGAGGCCGTCCACCGGTCACTCAGCCCCCACCGCTAGCAAGCCAGTAAGTGTCCTCTGGGAGAGTAGCCCACCCAGATTCCCTTTAGTGGGTTTGTATCTGCAGAGGTGCGTCCACCCACAAGGACAGACTGGAGACACTGGGATGCCGACAGGAACGTGGGGAGGAGCTGCCCAGCCTCATCACGAGCACTGTCAAATCCCCACTTTTCAGACTCGGCGCCCTGCTTGTTTTCATTACGGTTTAAGGAAAGCAAACAATGATTATGAACAAGACTTCAGTTTACAGTCTTTATTTAGCTAATCAACATCAACATGCAAAAATAAAGGCTAAATACAAACTTCTATAAACTACAATGAGTTTTGTTTGGAGAGTGATAAAGATGTGATTTGTAGCTGTCAAAACTGAACTAATCTCTGCTGTAATGAATACCCTAAAATTACATAATTATCTTGCAAGGCATCTTCAAAACTTGCCCAACACTTAAGGTTACCAGCTGAATTTTATGTGAGTACATTCTCAAAGCAAGAAATAAGGCAGTAGCACTAATGGTTTGATATTGAATCCTATGCACATAGTAACTAATAAATGAAGGATCTTACCACTATGGTCAACTGGAGGAAGAACAGGCATACGGGCAGCATGTTATGCCTGTCCCATTTCCAGTTCCTTGTATTTATGTGGTCTTCCTAAGATTCTTAAAGAGTAGAGGACTTTCGGAGATGAGAAGTAATGCTTGCATTTCCTTTCAAAGGAACTCGTAATTCCTCCAGTGAAGTCAAGTCTCATGTTAGGGGTCACCAAGCATCTGTTCCGCAGAAGGCGTGACAATGGCCCCTGGGATTGCTCTGAGGGCAGAGTGTAAGAGGATACCAAACAAAAGGGTCTCGGCCGATTGCTGGCACAGCAAGGAAGCGCAGTGAGGCCCCACATCACTCTTGGACGTAGCAAACGTGTTTCCAGCTTGTGTGTCCCATGGCGACAAAAGCCTCTCGACAGGAGGCGCGCACGGGTGCTCCCTTTCGGTCCACACACGCGCACGCACGCACACAATACCCTGCACACAATCGGAAGATCTGATGACCTAGCTCCGTGGTGCATGTAGAACAGTTTAGCATATTTGGCCCCTTCAAACAACACCTGTTCCACACATGGTTACACACTGATGATACTGAAAACAGGTCTGGAAGTGTGAAGTGGCACCTTTGAGATCCATTGCAACTTTTTGTCCTCAAGCAAAACGGTCCATTTGAGTAAGGTTCTTTTTCTGGATGAGTATTTGAGAAGAGTCCAATTACTATTACAAAATCCAAACATTCAAAATTTGTTCCCTCCAAGTACAACCTTTTAGTCACACACCCTCACTTTCTAAGACTGCGTATTGGTGCTCACTGATCTTTGGTCGCAAGAAAAAATGCCACCAACAAATCTGACCCCCACCCCACCCAAAGTGACAGCTCTCTTTCCCACATTTACGATCTCTCGCTACAGGCAAGCCAGAATATATTGTACCAAATTCCAGCGGCACTTTGCTGTGTCTATGAGGGAGTTACATAATGTAGACCTTCTCAGCTTGTGAGAAGTTGAAGACCTCTTTGGTTCTTGGACAAACTACTTTGTCATCCTGACGAACAGAAAGCAAAGACTGAAATAAAAGACAGAGGAAAGATCAAGATCATTCCAAACAGGAATAAAGTAATCACACATGACTCAACAACTGTACATCTTAATGGTACCTCATAACTCATTATCCAAGCCCACACTATTTATGCCAAACAGTGGCAAAAAGGCCCCACTGCATTTGCAGTCACTTTTCTGAAGTCTTGTCCTTGTAATCCTTGTTATAGATTTCTACTTCAACACATGAAACCAGGGAGTAACCGTGATGGTTCACTCCAAGGTCAAAAGCCAGCTCACCCAAAACTGGTATTAACACATGTTGTTCTGTCTAAATGAGCTGCCGTGGCAAGATGCGTACAGGCCCCAAATTAAAGTGACTCAGAAGCGCATCAGCCCAGCGTCTGGAAATGCGTTTAAGTGCCCTGGGTTTCTGCACTTTGCCCGCTTCAGGAGGCTGGGACATCCCCTGCGGCTCCAAGGAGGCCGCCCTCCCCAGAGCAGCCTGGGGCGAGGCAGCTGGGTGGGGGAAGCGGGCAGGGCGGCCTCGGTTTGCCACACTGCGGGCCCCTCCATCCTAACTGGGCGCGGCCTGCATTATGTCTGCGATGAAGCGAGTCCAAGGTGCCAGCAGGGCGCCTGCCACCCAACGCCCACGAGTTGTCCGGGATGGATTTTGCTTCGCGAAGGTTTGGGCCAGTGGCTGGAAAATGCAGCCCAGGTGGGCCAGCTTCATGGACCTGTGCTCTTCAGACCGCACAGCAGTCCCTGACGCTAGGAAATGGAGCGCTATCATCCGTTTCACAATCATTAGCAATCACCCCAGACTCAAGGGAGGAGGGTCCCTAGAGGCACTTACATTGTATCCATACACGTAGCCGTTGGGAAGCATCATTGGAGGATTATTCTCGTTCATCACATCTCCCGAAATCTTGCAGACCAGGCGCGAGTTGGCGCAGTGGGCCATCGGCAGCGGCTGGGCCAGCTTATTTAGCGACTTGCTACACACGGGGCAGTCGGGGTTCTTTGAACTGCCGTCCTCCTTGTAACATTGTCTATCGGAGGCCAGGTAAAGGAAGCCAAACCACAGCTGTGGAAATCAAACCCCGCACCGCACCTCATGAGCGCCAGCCATGGGGTTCAGTCAGCAGGCCGTTTGGCGGCTACCGTGACGCCCGACACTGCAAGCGCCGGAGCCGGCTTGGCTTCCAGTACGCGAACGGGGGCCCGTTGTGTGTTCTTCTGAGCCCCATGCATGCCCCCCACGCCAAGTTCTCCGTGAGGCTGCGGCCGAGACAAGGATGTGCCAGCAAGCAGCATCCAAGCACGCGCTCTTCCTCACCTGGCACTGTAAAAATAGGCTCGCTTCCAGCATGCAGTCAGGATGTTTCCTATTTCCCAATCTGTATAAAAGTAGGAGTCTTTTTCCTGCAGTCTCTGCTTTGCTGACTCAAACTGTGAGAAGTATCTGCTTTCACTCATTTTGGAGTGAAGAACAGTTAAGCTGAGTGAGCACTTGCCAAACAACAACCCTGCTGAAGAAACACGTGAATTACCAAACCTCCCCCCACCTGAGGGATCATGCTTTAAAAACAAAGCGGCTTTGCCCCGACGGCTAGCGTTCAAGGATACGGTGTTTTTATAGCTGAAAGCCCAGCCTGCAGTGTTATAGTGAAGACGGAGTTGTTCCCCAGCTGATGCAGCCGGTAGTTGTCGTATCGGAACTGCTGGATGAGCATCCTCCATCGGGCGGGGTCCAGAAGGTCCTGCAGACAAGGCACAAAGGGCAGGCTGAGCGCGCGGACAGAGCGCCAACATTTCGCTAGCTCTCACAGGTACGGCTCCTGAGGATTAAAACAAGTCCTTGCTAGCCACGGACACACCTGCTGCACAGAGGAGGAAAAGACAGGTAGGCATGGTGAGCAGAGGGGGCAGAGGGGGAGGATGTGCCCTAAGGACCAGAAAAGCTGAAGGGCAGCCGGGGGCTTGTTGAAACGAGGTCTGTGCAGCGTGAGTGGCCAGGGTCACGAGCCGATGGCAAACAAAGCCCGCCTGCAAATGTGTGCAGGCCCCACTTAATACTGTCAAGAAGGCAGACTAAGAATCACAGTCACCCCCAGACGCAGAAGCTGTCAACGCAGAAAAGCAGGTAAATGCTAAACGTTTTGCTGGTAGCAACAAGCAATACTTGTTTGCAAGCCTAACTTTTTGAAGAAGGCGCGTTAAAGAGTTCGTAACCATCAGCAGGTGCCCTGCCCCTCTTCTGCATAGCTGAAATTGGATGGATGGATGGATGGATGGATGGATGGATGGATGGATGGATGTACCTTGTATGGCGAGATGTGTGTGTCTGAAGGGAAGGCCAGCATTCCCATCACCTGCCGCACTTCGTCCAGCTGGCTGCCTTCGGCCTGGCTGAAATGTTTCCTCGCGTGCCTGAAATGCAGAAGAGCGTCACTTGTGCCGGCAGCATTTCCGGTCTCCCTTCTGGGGACGGGGGCATCTCGCCCTCCACACACTGCCCCAAATGCCGAATCCTGATGGAGGAGAATCGCTTTCTGGGCCCGGGAGATTTGGTACCGCAACTGCGACGCGTGGTCTATGCCGAAGGGCCTCTTCCAGAACGGCAGGGCCTGCGGAGACTGATGCCCCAACCTCCGCTTTGCACTGACAGCATGCGTGCGAGGCAGGGCTGGGCAGCTGCTGAGGGCCCACCGTCAGAGTCTCTTCGATCCCCCCCCCGCCCCCCGCTTGGCCTTCACCTTTATTTGGGTACATTTTCCATACGGTAGAAACACAGGAGGCGCTCCAACAAGCGAAAATGCTGGCAGCCCATTCAGCTAAGCTGTGAAAGTAAGCCTGGCTTTCGGCTCACGGAAGGCTACCTGGCCCTTGTCTCCTTCCTGTGCAGCGTCCACGCAGGACCACTGAGGCAAGGCAGCGAGCGGCGAGCGGTGAGACGGGGCGCCCGGAACAGCCTGGCCCCTGGAGCTCGGTTCGGCCTGCTGTGGGCTGGCACGGGGATCGGTCTGGCTCCAGAGGGTCCGCCAGCCTGGAAGGGGGTTGCAGCCTCCTGAAAGGCCTTGTGTGTCTGTTGCATGGTGATGCTCCCAGGACCACGGTGGTCTCAGTGGCGGGCCGTGTTTTACCAGCGTGGGGCACTACACCTCCCATCTAGGGAAGCCAGACCTTGCCCGTTACCCACAGAAAGGTTGCGTTCAGACCGGGCCCCCGTCACACGCTCTTTGCAGAACAGTCTTAAGGATGATCCAGAAGCTTCCACTGGCGCAGGTCGCAGCTGCACGGGCGCTGGTGGGAACTGGGCAGGGAGAACGCACGACTCCAGCGTGGTGTCGGCAACACTGCTTGCTGCCGTGTCCCTGGCTCTACTCCAAGCAGCTGGTATTCAGCTCTGAGCCCACCAGCATGGGAGCGGGCTAGCTGAAGAACGGCCTGCCCTGCACGGCCACACCCAGGCACGAAGACGTGCCCGGGCAGCTGGCGGGCAGGGCGGACCAGGTGGCCCATCCCACGGGAGGCCCCCGGTGGGCTGGGCTGTGCTGCCCACCGTGGGGCATGCAGCCACAAAGCTGCCGTGGCAAGTTTTAAAAAATGCATCCACTTCAGGGCAATTTCCTAGTGCTTTTAAGTGACTGCAGTCATTTCCAACACAAAAGGATTGCTTCAAATGGCCAGCACTGGCATTTGTTACATTGCTGCTTTATTTATATGGCTTTTTAAAAAAACTGCTGCTGTGAGATAATGCTGCGCTTCTGGTTCTGTTTTTTTAATATTATGTAAGCCACAATATGTGGTTTATGCTCTGAAGGGCCACCTAGAAGTGGTACAGAAATAATAATAATAATGAGGTTTTCATAGTTTTTCTCCTTATTCCTTCCTTTCCTCCTTATCTTGCTGACACCGATGCACGAAAGCTATTTCCTCATTTGTGCATTTTAACACATGGCCATTCTCATGCACATCCGGAATAGTTCTCAACAGTCGCATAATCTTGCTTGACTTACTTGCCAACATTATGGCTGCTCTGTTGTTGCTACTGGTTTGTTGTTGGTTGTTACTACTCTGTGGTTGTTACTGGTTTTACCATGTCAATGTTTTATTCTTATATGGAGGGGGGGTTTGTTAAATGTTTTCCTGACTTTTGTTAACTGCCCAGACAGCCTTTTGGCTGGTGGGTGGTATAAAAACGAAATAAACAAACAAACAATATCAAAATACACACACTCCTTGCTTTCTCAATGTTCATGACACTTTGACAGGGGATGCTTGTCAGGACGCTGTCCAGGCAAGACTTTGTATTTTAGCTAGCCAGAGTTGCATGCTTGTGCAAAGTCTGAATTATCTGCACAACCCTTTAAAAAAACCCTACAAAATATTTGTGCAGTTCTCGTGCTTAAAACATGATCATGACTGACATGATAATCTTTCAGAGAGGGCAGTGGGGACCGACATTTATTTTGGATATCAAGGAAGAATCAACTTGGATCAAGTGACTGCTGTCAATGATGCATACAGACAATCTCTTGCTAAGGAGGAAAGTGTGGGAAAACTAGCCCAAATATGAACTGATATAGCAAATATAAGCGAAAAGACAGTAGCTGGCAGCATGTTAAGGAAATGCTCTGGTCAATTCTCCAGTTTGTACATGGCAAGTGTGCCCAGAGACTGTGCCCTCAAGGCCACAGGCACAGGAAGCCCCGGGAAATGTCTGGCCTGCTGTGACAGACGCTGCCTCTCCCCTGGCAGGGCTCCCCTCTGGAAGCCGCCACAACAAGAGCCAGAATCCCCTGCCCATCTGCTGCTCGGGTGCTGCGGCCACTGCGACTCCCTGCTACACAGATGTTGTAAGTAGCTGCCCGGCCGCTCCTCTGCTGATGGCGACCTTCACATGCACAGAGGCTCTCCCCACAAACGTACGCAGCACGGGTTGCGTGGGAAGCCACCCACGGCGCGCCCAGCGAATGACAGGGCTCACTATAGGGTGCCTTCCCCCTCGATCCTCCCACAGGTATCCCAGGGGACTCTCTGTCCCCTCTCCCTGCTGCAACCCCCCGGCCGCTTTGGCATCCACGACGGCCCTTCTGACTCGTCCTGTCCTTTCCGTGAGGGTCAAGGCCAAGGGGCCACTTGCAGCTGCCCTGCATGCGCGGGTTCGGGCGACGCAGCTCCATCAGGGGCGCATCTCCTAGAACAAGTCATAGGAGTCAGGCTGGCCTGCAGCCCACAGGCAAGCCACATTGTGAGGAGCAGTTCAGGTTGTCGTCATGTGCCAACCCCGTCGAGCTAATTCATAGTCATGTAGAGGATTTTCAAGAAGAAAACCTCAAACAGATTTTACAATGACTCTGAAGAGGCTATAAAGAAAGTGGTCCCTTGTAAAATTGACATTTTATGTCAAATGCACACTGAAATTTGTGTTCCCTCTTAACATTTTCCATATGTAATTTCCTAAGAACACTCCCGCAATGCTTCAAGCAAAGCAATCATTCCTCTGTTAATGGAATTTAATAACCACTAAGTAATGGCAATTTGGATTCTGTAGGAAGAACAGATTACTCTAGAAGGGTGTAAACACTATATACCTGCATTTTATAGGATCAGAGAATAGTGGAGCTGGAAGGGGCCATGAAGGCCATCAGGTCCAACCCCTGCTGTTGCAGGACACCAAGTGACACCCTCCCCCTCAGAGGGCTGTCCAGTTTGAGCACGAGCCTAAGGTGTTCAAGTATCATGATTTATAAAATGGTATCAAGAGCATGTTTTTAAATTTCTAAAACAGAGACAAAGAATAAAAATTAAACTGTTGATGAACAGTGAGACTGAAAGGAAGTATTTGAATGTCATTCTTAATTATTATCCTTTTAAAAATGAATCATAATCCTCAAGCAAAGTGTTTGGTAAGCAACCTATTTTCATACCTCACAGCATCCAGTCTCTTGTTCTGTCGAATTAGCTCAATGAACTCTTGAATCCTTAGGCTGAACTCCAGACAGCTCTGAGATTAAAGACAAGACAGGGTCTTAGACGTGGCCATAACAGCATTCACAAATTTAGTCTCTGATATGAGGCCTATTTGGACAAGGGCCACAGAACTGACGTGGCACAGACACAGTCACGGACCAGGTGGTGCCTCCCTGAGATCTAATCCCTGCCATGGCCTCAGGCAGGTACCTGCAAGCTCCAGCCCTTCACCTGCTATGAAGATGCTGACTTACCTGCCCTAAAAACACCACAAACATTGCATGGTAAGGCAGAAAAAATTCCCTGCAAGTAGTTGTGCCGCCCTTGATTTTCCTGCTATAAAACTAAAGGGCCTGCAAACATTTTGTTTGCCATTTCTAGAGAAAGCTTCCAACATCACGCTGTGTTCTCAGCATGGCGCAAAAACATACTGGCATAAGCCTTCATTTTAAATACTGATCCTTCTCAAGCCACTTCTCCAAGTCGACTTATAAATAAAATTTTGAGGTTTGAGTTTTGCATAAAAGCAAGCTTTGTTTTGCTACATAAAAGTGGTTTAAGAAGTACAGTTGAATCAATGGGTTTTGTGAACAGGAACTAACTTAATACAACTACAACTGAGAAAGCTTCTTCAAAGAACTCATTCTACTCTTATAGACATTTATATTTCAAACCTATATCCTGCCAGTCTTAAGGAGGAAGTAAATTACACGCAGTTATTTAGAACAAATGTCCCTCTTGGGCAGGACTGATCAGTTTTTATCCGGTCACACATGCTCGTCGAATTTGTGCCAGTCACAAGCCCCAGCGCGCATACAGGCCTCCATACCTTCATCTTTCTGAGCCTAGATTTGTTATCATGACACCAAGCTAAACAAGTCATTGTTTCTTGTCTTTCCAAGGATTCTTCTACTTCTTTGGCAGTCAAGAACATCTCAATATTTACCAAGTCCTAGAAAGAGAAGGGGGACAAAGTCACTCACCAGAGGGACTACTGGGTTTACTTTCACGACGTTCATTATGAAAATCAAATGTGAAGATACTAGCAAAGATACTTTCAGAGTGACCCTGCACAGAAAGAGCCCTTCTGCACGCACCATGGACTGCCTCATTTTCAGAAGCCTGAAGCAGCAGGCAAGCCTGTTTTGGTCAACCTAGCTGCACTCACCTAGATCTGAATCCAACTCCTCGGGTTAGAATCTGCTTTGCTATCTGAATTATTGCTATTATTTTTCAACGTGAAGGTTCAGCAACAGAAATACAAAGGATCCAATGTACCCGAGGACCATTATCAGTGTTGCAAATAACACGTATTAACAGACTTTTTAAAAAAGCCAAGCTTTGCCAGAGAGAGGAAGCAACGAGGCAAGTTTGCCTCCTCTCCCATATCCCCAAAGAAAGCCACAATCCATTCAGGACTCCCAGCTCTGGATGCATGTTTCAACCATTCACCGATTCTGATGAGGCTGGTGAGACCGAACAGGCTGATCAGGGGAGAATGGAGCAGAAGCCCTACCTAGAGGCATTGTACACACACAAACACACACACACCCAATAAAGCAAAATGGTCCGCTACATCACCAGTACTAATACCGGTATACAAAAATACCAAATTCAGACATAGCAGCAAATTGCAATGACTTCATTTCTACCCCTTCCCACATTCTTCTAACGTCAGTGGCTGAGAGAACTTGTTATACACTGAAATTCCATGTGGCTGAGTAGGTTATATGCAGCAGGAAATGGCAGAACCTGTTCGTGACAAACAACCTAGTACTGACATACTCAAGGTATGCAGATGGCAATTACAGCCACTACCGAGAACCCTCAGAGATTACTTTGAACTTGAGCCTTACTCTGGAGCGGGTCAAAGCAAGCAGAAGCGTGGCAGAGCAGTTACGGGGAAACAAGAGCATGGAAGTAAATGGGCCACTTTTGGAACGGAGGAATGTAAACAGTGCGGGCACATGAGGGTCTGTTTGAGGTCTGGTGCTTCCTCTCTTGTTCATGGCCAATTTGGCATTAGAAATGGAGTGGCCAGGTTTTGCTAGTACCAAATTATTCAGACCAAAAACGGACACCAGAACACGAGCATGAAAACAATAAATGCAAAGACCACCAGCTGAGAACTCAAAGCACCAGAGCAACTCCCCAGTCAGAAAAGGCCACAACATTGGGGACTTTTTAGCTTAGAAAGATGGCAAGTAAGGTCAGAAATGACAGAAGGGAAGCACCCAAGATGTCTTTTCCTCTCTTCATAATACTAGAACCCACAGCTTGTGTGAAGCTGAATGGGGATGGACCCTGGACTGATAGAAGTGTCACACAGCACATAAATTCACTGCCACAACATGCAGTGCCAGTTACGAACTGGGATGCTTTTAAAAGGTGTTTCGACAAAGTAATAGAGCACAAGGTTCCAATGGCCCCTGGCCATGATGGCGATGCTCCACCTCCCACAGGAGTGGCAGGACCTTAATGCCAGCCACCAGGGAACCTGAGCAGGATGACGTTTCAGGGCTCTCTGGCTGGTCACCATGGAAACAGAACACTTGACCAGGCGTGCTTTGCTGGGATGCTAGTGGACTCTCATGCTACAGGGTCTACCAGCTGTACAAAAAAGACTCTTCTAAACAGATCCATTTATTTATTTCATGTTGTGCCACCCCGGAGGCTCTTGCCCCACAAAAGCAAATTTGTTTTCAACACCGTTTCAAAGTATATGTTGGGCATGAAAATGTGCCACTAGCTGTACAAAACAGAGCACCAGTCCAAGCCATTCAAGATTACTTGAGTTGGTGTGAAATAACAGTACGTTTAAGGGGCATTCTAGAAAAACAGCTCAATACCTTGTAAAGTACTTCCTCAAGAATTCCATTTAAGGCTCTGGCCAGGGAAGCCAGCAGGTCTGTGGCAGCAGGTCAAGTCGCATGTGTGCAGCAAGTGCGCTCTCCCACCAGGCTTCCTCACCCCACAAGAGCCCCCGTTCCTAGGCTGAAGAACCCAACAGATGCACCCCAACATTTAGGGACATTTTTCAGTGAGTCACCTGCTACACCCTAGCCAGCATCAAATGCAGCAGCTTTTTCATGCCTACTGCACAGCAGCAAGTACTAACCTCAATGCCACTTTGCCGGGCTAATTTTACAGCTGTGTTGTAGTAGCCGCACCGCAAGAGATGTTCCACCATCATGCGATCCATGCGCTTTTTTTTCCACATGTTTGCGGCAGCTGGTTGGTCACTGCTATGCTCTTTAAGATGCTCGATCCTGCGCTTGCACAACTTTGCGCTCTCATCTTCGGCTTGGATAGACTCCACTGCCTGCGTGAAGAAAGCAGGTGTTCGGTGCATGCTAATACTGCAGTGTCTCCACACGGGCCATGCTCAGGTGCACAGCAACCAGACCCACAGCTGCCCCGCCACCCTCACAAAAGAGCTGCAGGCAGGAGCAGAGAGACAGAGGGAGGGTCCCCCCAAAACTCTGCCGCAGAATTTTCCCAAGCTGAGCAAGAGTTAAAATATTTTCAACCCAGGCAGAACCATGAATAAAAACCGGTACACTCCTCATTCTTCCCATAAGGTTAATTCCTCTTTCAGAGCTTTGTTAAACATTTTCTTTGCAGACACAATTTGACAAAGCTGCCCTCAGAGCCATCAGAGAGGTCAAGCAAAACGGCTGTGAAGATTTGGGGTCGGTGGGGAAAGGCAACGTATGTTTTAGCTAGCTTAATGTAAAGGAAACTGGCTGAATATCCTGTTTCGACGTGTAATGCACCTTTTACGTTCCTGAGCAGCACCAGAACTAGTTCGATCCGAATGGTTATGTAGGATGCAGTACACTCAGATTACTTTGGGCATTTAAGGGTGCTTCTAATTATTAACTTGAAGACGGGCAGGCCACGTTCAAAGTCTGCCCCCAGTGCCTTCCCTTACTTGAAATAATTTCTTTCCTTACCACTCAAACCATTACAATGTATATAAACAGTGAATGTTACAAATGATACACATCAAGACAATACTAGAAACAAAGCTTAGAAACAGTGCTAACCATTTAGGCAAGCCACATTATCAGGGAAAGCATGTGTAAAAAAAATGCTTTGCGTCAGCGATAAGAAACCCGGCAGCGCTTGCCTAATGCTAGCCTGCACAGCGTCCCGTCAGCTGCACGGCCACGAGCAGGCGCGAGATGAGCAACGCGCTGCGCGCTGAGTTGAGCTTCCGCTGCTGAGCCACCGGGTCGTGGGGCGAGGCGCTCACGGAAGAGGGCTGGCCCCGAGCTGCTCCGCCAACTTCAGAGCCTTGAAATCATCCCGGGGGTGTGCTGGCAACTGGCACAGAGGTTACGGGGCAGCTGCCTCAGCACGAGCTGCAGCTTTCTGGCCGGCCTCAAAGGCGGCCCTCCACGGAGTGTCCTTCAGTGACTCCATGCCTGGACTGCTGTGGACAAGTTACCACAAGCCACCCTGTCTGGAGCAGGCAGTTGCCTGTCTCCTGGAGACGGGGACGCCACCCACGGCACTTCCATGTTGCTGGAATGCAAGCGCAAGGCCATCGCCGCTTCCAGGCACGGCCTAGGGGCTTGCACTGCGCTCACGCCCTGTCCCGCTGGCCTCACCCAGTTCCGATGATATGCAGCCCTTCTTCATAGCATCAGCAGACTCATAGAACCGCAGCACAGCAGAGCTGGAAGCGGCCACGAAGGGCACCGGGTCCAACCCCTGCTGCTGCAGGACACCCAGTCACACCTTATGACATCTTGCCCAAAATCTCCAACAGCTTCATGCAGGTAACAACGGAGGCACAAGCAACGATAACATAGACGCTAATAACCATGGAAAAGGTCCTCAGTCACCTCATAAAGCGAGTGGCAGGGCAGGGGAGCACGTGGTCCCTGCTAAAACAAGGCAAAGGTACAGGTTTCCCCTTGACGTTACGTCCAGTCCTGCCTGACTCTCGGGGGCGGTGCTCATCCCCGTCTCCTGGCCGAGGGAGCCAGCGCTTGTCCGCAGACAGTCTCCGTGGCCACGTGGCCGGCAGGACTAAACACCGAGGTGCACAGAACGCTGTTACCTGCCCACCGAAGTAGCACCTGTTTATCTACTTGCATTTGCATGCTTTCGAACTGCAAGGTCGGCAGGAGCTGGGACGGAGCAACGGGAACTCACCCCATTGAGCGGATTCGAACCGGCAACCTTTCGATCAACCAGCCCAGCAGCACACGCCACTGCGCCACCTGCATCCCTCCATCATTCCCCAAATGTAGCCCTGAAGATGGGTCCAGGAGCAGTGTAAGACTGAGCCTCCAAGCCCCACCTCAGAGGAAGCACATGGCCAGGGCCATCAAACACCACTTGAGGCCGAGAGCGAGGACGCACCGCTGCTGCCCCTTCTCAGTAAAGGGCATCCATCAGGATGACCAAGGCTGACCAGTATCCCCAGGAACGCCGGCCCTTGCCCCGTCATCTTGCAAAATGGGGCCACTGTGACCAGACAAGAGCTGCTGAAAACCAAGAGGCCCAGGGTGGGTTAGTGCAAGAGCAGCCACATCCCCACCTCTGACGGCAGCAAGCGCGACTCCCCTGCATGGACTCGTCACCAGAAGATGCCCCATCTTCTAGGTCTACTCAGGGAGAATGTGGATCCAAGAAACGTGTGGAAGCTGCACTGCTACAAGCCACATCGTCCACATCGTATGGATGCAGCAACCAAAGCTGACCCCATGATCCCAGGCCAGGCACAGCAACGGACAGTGCAGGTGGGGCCTGTGCGGCAACAGTGCCTGGTCTGCCCTCCAAGTGCTCGTAAAGGCATTTCGGTGCGCCCCTGGGGACACCAAGGCCCAAACACCCACCGCTGGCGTCCGTATCCTTTGCAGCACCCTGACATATTTTACTGTGTTTTATTATGTTTTAATATGTTTAATGCACTGTAAGCCACCTAGGAAGACCTTGGCAATTATAGGCAGCCTATAAATATGTGCATAAACAAACAAACATTCCACTCAAGGACCACCAAGGATGCAATGGAGGGGGCAAAATGAACTTTCCTTACTGCTGCAAGGCCCTTAACCATTTTCCACGGTGGAACGATGTTGATTTCCCTTTGTAGAAAAATCTATCAGCAGTTACTTTATACCATACTCAAATTTGCAGCCCCCTGGTTCTTTAAGAAGGAAGCAAACCCATTACTTGGTTCAGGCTTTGTGTATTCCTCTTCCAACATATAATCACTCTATAAGCGAAAGACCGAATCCTGAATGCATTTATATATTTAGACAAATACGTTCACACATGTGGAAGAGAAGATAGCATGCTCCCTGCTCACTAAGCCCCCGCTGCATTTTCAAAGAGCAGGTGCTGCTGATTAATGCTTTGGAAAACCAAGGTGCGTGCCCGGGGAAGGCCAGGATATTCTCCCACTTTTCAAAATTTGGAGTCGGGCATCGAGGAGGGAGTCCTTCCCAGCTCTGTTCTATGACTGACATGATATTTATTCCACACTAACACTGAATGCAAGATGCAACGCAGACCTACTGTGCTCAAATTGCAAATTCGACCATTTCAGTCCAGAAAACTGAAATGGAAAAGGTAAGCTGCAAGACAAGGAAAGAGGTTGCAACAAAGAGGTGGACATGGGGGTGGAGCAGAGGGTCACCTTTCGCTTCAGGACGCTGAGTTTTTCAACTACGCCGTCGAGGAGGCTAACCACGGAATCCACAGCTGGACAGCCGCTCAGAGTCTTCTCCAGCTCTGCTACCACCATGGTGACGTGGCTAGTCTCGCGGTCAATGTTTTTCTGTGCAGCCCGGAACCGTTTGTTCAGCGTTTCATAGGGCACCTTTAAAAAGAAACAACATTTTGGTATTTCTAGGTCCCTTTTTAGATTAGATATTTGCCAAAGCCTCTCTTGACAGCTTTCACAAACCAAAGCCACCTGGGCTCTCCTTAAAGCTCTTCAGCCGAACAGATTCGAGGGTGGTGGTACAGCATTCTTCATTTGCTTCCTCAACACTCAGATGCCAGGATATTCCTGGAGTTCTATGCACTTAATTGTCTCGGCCTTTTCATTCAACATTCTCAGACTCTACACATTTGTCAGAAATTGTATGAATAGTGCAGACTTGGTCTTTGTCCAGAGGTTCTGGCAAGTACAGCTTTTTGATATGTTGTAAAACACAGTGGAAGCGAAGGATAAAATGGAATAGAAGAAACCTCACAAAGCAGGCCTCTGCGATACAGAAAATCTCCCATCAACGTATGGCTGGATCTTTGGAGAGCCGGGCTGTTCTGGCAAGCCCCTCCTCGTCAGTGGAGAGTGGCAGGGCAGGAGGAGCCCAGCAAGCCCAGTCCCCACAAGAAGGCCGCTGGCGGAGAGAGGTCAACACATCCACGGAGGCTGAATGCGTGGCCACTGGGATGGGGCGGGGAGCAACGCAGGGCCACAGAAGCACCTGGACGTGGCTGTGTGTGCAATTCCCTCTCTTCCCTTGTGTGCCCAATGCATGCAAAAGGACGTTTGTGCAAGCAACTCCATGGCTCCTTGTGGAGGGGCCAGGGCCGTGAGACCAAGAGCATGCTCTCCAAGAGGAGAGACCTACCCCAGCCAAGTCCTAGGCAACCAAGGCATTCTTCACGCGCCAGGATGTGGCCAGCTGATGGGACACCCAGTGCCAGAGCCTTATCCAGGGACAAGGGTACGACCATCCACCACAATGGGGAATTCTTTTCGCATCACAACCGTTCGGTCGTGCATCAGCCTTGGGTACGGCTCAGTCGCAAGACCTCACAAGCATGCAGCAAAAGCTGGGCACCCTGTAAATCAACCATCCCCCCTGTTTTGGACTACATCAGCTTGACCAGTGTGGTCAGAGACGGCAGGAGTTGTGGGTCAAAGCATCTGAAGGGCACCAGATTGGAAAGAACGACTCTGAACTGCCTCCTTGGGTAGACATTATCCCATAAGGAAGAGCAAAGAATCCAACTTAGATTGCTTAGATAGATAGGTAGATAGAGCTATAGATAGATAGATAGACAGACCTCTGCTTAGATAGATTTGAAAAAGAGGAAGAAAGGGGTCAAATGTTATGGGGAATCAGGTGATATCAGCTTGTCACACATTCACACTTGAATTTTGCCTAATACATATGCTCAGATAAATACAGACCGTACCACAAATAAAAAAGCAAAGCCTATATGCAAATAAGTGTGAAAAGCTCTACAAGGTGGTGAAATCAGTGTCATATTGGTAAATGGGCACCCAATAGAGAAAGTTGACTCTACTCCCCAGGATGTGGCTGAAATTATAAGCTACCAGATAGAATATATTCTGTATGCTTCATGCTATACTGCAAGTGTATCAAAACTGAATTTTCTGAAGCTTTTAAAACAGAACTGAAATATCAGCATTTTCTCACTGATGTAACAAACAACAACAGCGCGTTCGGTTAGACCTAGGTGCTCTGCATCCTATTTACTTCAACATATTTCCATTCAAAACTCGCAAAAGACGCCTCCTGCAAGGTCTGCGACAGCCAATGGCCGCTGCCACCGAGGGATTCCGCTCGGGGCATGGCGGAATTCTGGAGAGCCAGCGCTATGCGGCCTCCCCGACACTGACGGCTCATTAAACGCCTCGTTTCTACTTCTTGGGACCACTGCATAGCGGATGTCTTAACAGGACTTGATTTCTGCTCTAAATAGACGGCTTCCATTTTAATCTTCCTGAGAAGATGACTGCCCATTCCCCTTGCTTATCCAGGCTACCACCAAACTGTTTCCTTCTGGCATTTTGTGCTGTGGGTGAAGCACCCTCCACTTGCTCCGCACGAGGAGGCCCTGAAGCATAATGAAGCAGAAGGGTTCCTGATGCCGGCACGCCGGAACAGAGCGCAGCTTGTCACCGTGAGGGAATGCCGAAAAGCCAGAAGGGCTCCTTTCGCAGTCAGGAGCACATTAGTACTTGTGTTGTCAGATGACAACCAACACGGACAACAGTAGAGCAAGCACATAATGTGAACCAAGTTTCTTTGTACTATGGCTCTTGCAGAGAAAACACGCGGTGCCTGAAACACTTAAAATACCTGAAGCGCCATCACAGCCCGTTAGAGGAATGCGAGGGGCCTCTCTGCTTTGTTCCCGTAAGGTCACTTGGGAAGTAAAGGCCTTCTCATCGCATTTTCCTTTTCTCATACCTCATCCGTAAGGTCTTGTTACTACTCGTAGCTTTTATAATGTTACCCATTCTAGCTCTAAGCTACTTGGTTTATACAGATACTTGATAAGATTATCACGCTTCCTGTTTATCACTGCATTTGAATCCCACCTTTCTCTTTCTTATTGTGTCACTGTCATGTTGGAAGCCATTTTTGTTTGTTGCCTGCAAAACATTCAGCGCTAAGAATGCTTACAGATGTAAGTCCCACTATATTATGTCTTTGCTTTACAAAGTAATTTCTGGACAAGCTTTCTTTGTAAGACTCCAAGGGCAGCATGTAATCAATGGCATTATCACAATAAAGGCCCAAAACCAGCAGCCTTAAGGCTGCTCAAATCCATCAGAGCTGCACCGTAAAAGTGTTCAATGAGGTTCAGTCCAAGGCAAATGTGCGCACATCCCAGGGCTGCAGCTGTGCGCACGCTCACATGTGTGACTGCACTGCAAATGTCCTGAATAAACAAAAGTAGCCAAGATAAACCTCAAATCATATAATCAATAGCAATTTGAAATAAGGAGAACTCAATGAGGAAATGTACGTGCTTGGAGTTTCCTAAGCCTTCCCTTCTTATATATCCAGCACTGGCAGCAGTTCAGTCTGATGCTTGGCAACTGAAGTATGCGCCCTTAAAAAAATGGCTGTACTCAATATTCTTAATTGCCCAGCCCCAAATCAAGATCTTAAAAGCAGGTTGTATTTCTTCCAATTCCTTTTTACCCTTCCTGGACACAGATGCAGTTTTGTGCATTTTTCAGAAGATCTATAAAGCTCACAGTATCAAGAAGCACATCACTTCGATTTGGCTATAACTTTTAACAAAGAGAATGGGTGCCAAAGAAAGGTAAAGCATACCAAAAATCAGCAGTACAGGAGAGCATCAAGGAGAAAAATGTGTGTGTGTGGGGGGGTGTTAGTCATGCAAGTTTTTGAGACTGACAAGCAAGAGAGATTTTGCATGTTTCATCTGTTAGCATGGTAGTGCTATTCCCACCTCCAACTATCAAACTTCTATGGCCTTTATTTTTTGCTTTGGCCCTCACAGTTCCACAAGATTAATAAATCAAATTTTACTCAAGTACATTGCAATTGCTATTAACTATGCAATACTGTAGGCTGATATACATCTTTATTAATTTGTCCCTAAATGTTTGCACCTTATTATAGAGATCTGTCTTTTTACTTGTAGGGGACATGCCAATAAATCATTCCCCTCTCCAATGAAGCCAGTTTAATTCAAAAGATGTGCTCCAGGCTGCTTTAAGGCTCCCTAATGTACAGAATATACATTTCAAGGCATGACAGCATTTGCCACCCTCCTAAGATGGAGGCGGCTGGAGGGGGGCTGAGCTTTGGTTTTTCGCTTTGAAAGCATTATTACTACTTCATCACACTTCTCTGCCACTCATAGTCAAAGCTCTCCGGGTGGTTCACAACATCTAAGTCACCCATCCACATTTCAACCAGCTCCAACCTTGCTCAGTTTCCAAGACTAGGTAGGGTGATATCTTACCGATCCTGTGCCCAGCCTCAAGGACCCTCCAGGTTACACCAACCCCCAATCAACTGATTCTTTCTGAGCAAGGTGCCTGAGGTGGCAGTTGCCCTGAAAGTCTGGACACTCTTGGATGAATTTTCCAATTGCCTAGGTCCACTTCAATCTTGTTTCCAGCTTTGTTTTGACACTGAAATAGTATTGGTCATCCTGATGATCTGGAGTCCAAACGTCTTACTTCTCCAAGCTATTTTGGGATTGCTTGTTTCCATCAACCACAGTAGCCTTCCAAATGTCCAAAAAGATTATAAAAAGCTGTGCACAGCTGTTTTCTTTGGTTGGCATAATATAGCATGTTACAGCAACAGAATTTGGGTATTTTCTTATGGCCAACCAAGCTATCATGGTTTTTCTTCTAGACCAGCTATTTGAAGGGACGGGTGGCACTGTGCTGCAATGGCTACCTTCATCCTCGGATTGTCAGTTCCAGAGGCCAGAGCCAGGAAGCCACTGTCCTGCTCCACAGCAGTGACACGATGGGATTCCAAAGGGCTTTTCCCTTTCACAAGCTATTCCACATCTACAGGAGACCACTACCAGGTCAGTAGACCTGTAGTGCCATTACCAAATTCCAATGGCAATTCAAATTAAGGCAATGCTGTAGGAAGGCTGGACAGATATCTGAAGCTCAGTCCTGTTCAGACAGATGCACAGCTGGTAAGTAGCGCACCTGATCTCGGAGGAAAATGTGCCTGCTCTACAAGAGGCGGTTGCCACTAGGGGATAAGCCTGCAGCTCCTGCATGCTGACAGATCCAGGCCTGGGGGGCACAAGGCACCTTCCAATGCCTTCCACAGGTGCCAACTGGAGCCCCAGGAATGGACACAGCAGAGTCCCCTGGGCAGATTCACCCGACAGGGGGCAACTCCCATTAGCGCCCCATCGCTGAATGGAGGGCGGCCACCCACTCGAGGCGCCCCCGGCCGGCCACGAGGGGCTGTTCTGGCTTCTGGGCAGGGCTAGGGTTCCGCCTGCAGACTCTGATTTCCAGAGCCGCCAAGGGCTCGAGGCCGGGACACGTCCGGGGCGGCCCCCGCGCACGCCATGCCCGGGGCGGCGGAGGGGGCGCCCCACGCAGGGCCCATCCTGCCGCGGAGCGTCTCGCCTTTGCCGTTCGTTCCCAGCGTCTGGTCCGGCGCGGCCCGGCCCGGCCCGGCCCGTTCGCCCTCGTCACGGCTGGATCAAGACGCGGACCGCAATGGGACCGCCCTGGACGCGTGGCCTGCCCCGCTCCTTCAGCGGCCCGCTCGGCCGACATTTCCCTCCCTGCCGGCGCCGCCGCTTCTCGAGGAGCGCCCGGGCAGCGCGAGAGAGGAGCGAGAGGCCACGCCACGCCACGCCACTGCGGGCGAGGGCTCCGAGGAGAGGGCGGTCGCTCGGCGCAGGAGGCCCCAGAGCGGGCCCCCGCCCTGCCGCACGGCCTTCCGCTGCCGGGCGCCCGGAGCGCTTCCTCGGCGCCGCGGGAGTCCCGGGCCCGCGCCGGCCGGGCCGCCGCCGCCTCCCGCCCCGCCCCGCCCCGCGGCCGGGCGCGCCCACCTTGAGCGTGGGGTACTCCTGCACCTTCAGCGTCATGGAGAGCTGGGCCGCCGACTCCTGCACCGCCATCTTGGCCCGGGCGCCGGCGCCGCCGCCCGGCCGCTTCCCGGCTGCCGTCTCGCACAGCCCGAGCAGCGCGTCAGGCGGCGCGCGGCGCACTGGGAAGTGCGGCGCGTGCACTTCCGCCTCCCCCCCCGCTCTTCCGGCGGCGGCGGCGGCGGCGGCCTCGCGCGGGGGGCCGGCGCCAATGTGCTCCCGGCACGCGGGGAGCAGCGGCCAATCGCGGAGCGCCGCTCGCCTCCGCCTCGGCGCCGCCCCGCCCCCTCGCGCGCCCGGGCCGGATACGCCTCCCCAACCCTGGGGGGGGGGCTGGAACTACAACTCCCGGCAGCCCCGAAGGGTTTGCAACGGTGGAAAAGCAGCGAGGGACGGGATTGGCCCAGGCGCGATGTACATGCTGCCCGTCGCTCTCCCGTTGGCCAATCCGAGCAGGATATTGGGCCGGTGGGCAGGAACTCGGAGCACCCAGCCCTTTCGATTCGCTGGGACGGCGGGGGCGGGTCCGACGTGGATGCACGTGCAGCTGTGCATTTCAGGTCTCTTGCGATCAAGGTGTCGTTGAGCTTGTGCAGAGTTCCTGTCGGTCTCCCCTCTTCTGTGGAGCACAAGCCCACGCTGGGGGCATTTGGGACGCTGAGGTGCCTAGTGTTTGCTGCTGTGGGAAGACTGGAAGCAGGAGGAAGAGGAGGATGCAAACAGCTTTGACTTCATGGTGGGGAGGGGAAGCAGAATATAACTCTGATAAATAAATAAATGATTCCACAGCGGCTCACTGCCTTGCCACGACTCTGTGTGGGGACGCAAGGGGTGTGGCCAAGGACCCAGTGGAGCTGCATCTTGAAAGGTGCATCCCATGAGAAAGGTGTCAAGTTATAAAACTCCGCTTGGTGTGGTTCCAAGGCGCTCTGCTTCACACTTGTGTCCAGAATTATTTGTGGATTGCCTTGCTGGCCCTGTATTCTCACTAAATGTTGCTGACTCGACGTTCCCCAGCGGAGGTGGGCAGACCCGTGTCTTGCCGGATTGGGCACCACCCCCCAGTGCCCCTCCCAGCAAGCGGGCAGCAGCAGCGGAGCCTCGCAGAGCCTGCGTACGGTCAGGCTGGCCTGCCTCACACTCGGAGACCGTGGCACCGGGAGCCGCCGCTAAATGGGCGCCCTCAAGGCTTGCCTGGTCACAAAGGTCACGTAACTGAGTCCACGCCAGGGATGGGGTTCGACTCGCACGTGCAAACCGCACGCTGGACTGCGCCCGTTTCACCCATGCAGCTGCGAAGGCTCCTGGCCGAGGCTCGAGCTGAGCCGCTTGCCCCGACTGGGCCTGAGCCAGTGGAACCCCCGGCCCTGACCCCAGCCCCTCCCTACCCCCAGACACTGAAAAGCCAAGGTTACCCCCACAACAGGCAGGCGCCAAGTGCCCTCCCCCATTGCGCCCCACTCCAGGGCCAGTCCTGCAGGCTTGATGGAAGTGAACGAGCCGAGGTGCCTCAGTGGCGAGCCCGCCGGTTGGGAATAGGCCTCCCTCCCCTCACCCAGTCGACCTGCAACGGGGCTCTGAGTGTTCGCTGATGCTCTCTGTGTTTTAGCAAGTTGCCCTTAGCGAGCCGGCAGCCGGATGGGCAGCCACACGTGGCAGCAGAGCTGGGGCTGGGCTCAGCAGCCTCATGGGCCCCTGGCAGCTGTGCTTCCATTCCATTCTATTCAAAATGTAATAAATAAACCATCGAATTAAGGGTTGGAAAGTGATACAGTTCAAAGATTCCTATTGGGATTACTTTGATTGTTTGTCAATTGTTATGCCACTTCCAAACCATTTATGTTTTGTTTTTTACACCAGCTTCTAATGCCATTTTCTGGCCATTCATAATAATCCATAATATGTTGTTATTAATATTCTATAGGAAGAGTAAATTATCTTTAGGTGTCCTGTATCCATAAATTAATGGATTGGTTGCAATCCAAATATTGGGTCTGTGATCTTTTACAGAGGTCATGCTCTACTCTGGCCCACTGGGCTGCCAAAATGCAACGCTGGACTCAAGTCAGTCCCCCTGGAGCACAGGAGAAACGCCCCTTCGCATTGCGTGTGCACCTGATTCCCTCCCTGCTGTGCGTTCCCACGTTTCCTTCCAGCTATCAGTGCTGAGGCCAGGCACTCTCAGGAATATGAGGCCTTGGAGCCGGGGGGCATTCAGTGGATGCCAACAAAGCAGGGCCCAGGTTCCCCAGAAAGACCGGGGTGAGTCCTCCACCATGCTGGTCCTGGAAGCCGAGCCAGCCGGCTGCGCCTTTGCTTCACCAAGCAGCTGATACGGATCGGGCCTGAAACAGGACTTGGCTTTTTGCCAGCTGGCTTCCCTTGCCTCCTTCCGACTGGGGCCACCCCCCACAGACCAGGCCGATCAGCAGTGCGCTGGAGGCTGCTGTCGTGGGGCGGCATCTTCACAGCCACAGTGGTCCAGATCCAAGGACAGTGTGACCTCCTCTGGGCTTGGGGAACTTAGCCCACCGGGGGAACTGGGCTTCAAGGAGGCGGGAGTGTTCTGGTGTCCTCTGGTAACAGAGCCACCTCCTGGGTCTGTTCCCTCGGAAGTCTCCTCCTCTGAGGAGGGGAGGGAGGTCACAATTCTCCCTGTGACCTCCAGTTCCCTGTGTGATTTCCTGGCTTAAGAGAATCAAAGTTTGCCATGGCAGACTTTGTCAGACCAGGAAGTGAGCAAGGGAACTGGAATCGATTAAAAGGGAATGGAATATATTTGTGCTTGAGGCATATTTTTGGACGTTTGTAACAATGTACACAATGTTGTGTGTATTGCGTTAACCTGAGTTAAGGGAACAAACCTAGTTCTGACTAACATTAGTGCGTATGTCTGCACAATGGCTTAGCAGAAGCAAAGGGAGGATAATTGCCTTAGAGCCTGGAACTGCTTCCTTCCTGGACTGTTGATCCGAATATTTAGTTACAAGAAGTTACGCCAAGCCATTCTGGCCACTGCCTCAGCACATGGTCGGAGGTGCCCTCTGTGAGCACTTCCCACCTTAATTACCCAACTGGGGCCAAGTGGTTCGTTTGCTCCGGGGCTGGGTGTGCTACTCTGCGCGGAGTAGAGCGGATCGATCCGCTCAGCCCCGCCAGGGGTCTTCTGGGTATCAAATAGTGCTTAGCCAGGTGTTGCACAGCTTTAACATCTGCCAGTCACTTAGGAGGGGGTGGTGGATAAATTTATCTAAGCTGCAGATGGTCCTATTTGCCTCTCTGGTTTAGTGCTCTGGAAACTAATATTTATATTCCCTATGTGATTTCGATACATCAACATGTCCGTGCGCTATTTATCATGCTCAAATAGCTTATCAACATTTATTTCTGCTTTCAGCAAATGAAAACAGCTGCATATTAGCTACCCTTATTTCTACGAATGCAGAGATAGTGAAACCGTTCAATGATCAATGCAAATATTCAAAATTTCTTACTGGGCATGCAATTTGCAATGGCTTTGCTATGTTAGAAACACTAGAAAAACAGGACGATTGGTTTCCATGGCAACTGCTGTGTTTTCCTAATTTGGAAATACATTGAATAGCTGGAACTCTAACAGGAATTGTAGGAATATTAAATATGTCATGAAGCATCCTCAGTATATTACTAATATTTGTTTGAACTATTCTAACAGCTTGATTTCTGAGAAAATCCTGCCTCATTTAGCATATCTATGTCATTCTATTCAGCAGCAGGCTGGTGCTTTCAAAGAGACACCCTGACCCGTTGCATCGTCTTTCTGACGAGCCGGGCCTGGCAGCGCCCTCCACACCGGCCCTTCGCGCCGTGATGTATTCCCAGGCTGAGCACTGGCCTCCGAAACGCGGCCGCTTCCTCCCCACAGACGCAGCTTCGCCCTCGGACGGCGGAGCCTCCCCGCTCCTGAGCCGAGGGCTGCGGGGCGCCCCAGCCCTTTCCTGCGCGGACTCCCTGCGAAGGCAGCGCCTGGCTGCACGAGCGCAGATGGAGCACGGGACGCAGCAGGCAGCCGGCGGCGTGCGCTTTGCAAGGAGGCCTGGCTTTCCTTCTGGCACCGCGTCCCCTTTGGCCCTAAACACCCCCATTTGCTCCCAACGCTTCTCCGAGCGTCTCTGCAGGTCTCCCTGTTGCGGCCGGCAACACAGCCCAGCCGTCCAAGGACTCCTGCAACAGTGGAGACTCTGAGGTGGGCCCCTCGCGGCCAAGCCCCCGGCACTACACCGGCCCCACACCGGATCCCCCCAGGAAATCACGGGGCTCCTGTGGCTGGCAGGACGGCAAGGAGACCAGGAAGCTGCACGGCCTCGGAGCGCAAGAGCAGGAGGGTTCAGCCAGGGCTGCTCTTGGGGTGCTGGGCCAGGATGGTCCCCACATTAGAGTCCTCTGCCTCAGGAACTGGACGCTCCCACCAGCTCAGGCAGGAAAGAGGTGCACCAACGGCAGCAGTTGTGAGAATCGGGGATCCCTTTTCTCTTCCTGAACCCCATGATCCTTTTCATGTCTGCATTCCTTCTGGCGAGAAGGCGCTGCAGCCGATTGCACGTGACGCACACAAGGCCCTTGTGAGAGCGGGCGGTGCGGTGCCGAAAAGGGACAGATGTGCTCGCCCGCCATCAACTACCCTTTCAGCCAAGGGCGGGGAAAGCCCGCCCCCCTGGGGGCCCCATTCCGCCCACTAGGCCTCCCCCATGGCCGCTCCCCCTTCACCAACTGCTTTGGGGATAAAAAAGCCCAGGCATCCCTCAGCCCCATGGACGCGCGGCAGATGGTTGCTGCGTACCCAAACGCAGCACGCCGTGCACCTTTCAGATCCCGTGCACTCCCCTGGAAGAGCCCGGGCGGGTCTCCGGGCTCGCCCCACCGGCTCTTTGCGGCTAGGTGTGTTTCGACCGGCTTCGGGCAGGTGCGCGGCCCGACGAGGAGCCCCACCGGCTGTTCCTCGGTCACCCAATAGATGGCGCCGGCGCGCCGCCACGGGCGCTTTCCCGCCGGGAAGCCGCTTGCCCGGCGCCGCATCGCGAGAGGGAGGGAGGGCGCGCTCCTAGGCGCC